CGGGGCAGGCGAGAATCGAACTCATGCGGAAGCGGCTTTAGATTCTCAGTGCTGTGCTTTAACCCACTGCGCCACCAGGGAGGGCCCAATGCTGCCTTTTTTTAAATGTATGTGAGTGCTTTCCTATGGCAGACAAGTGTATACTGAGGATCTTGTTTATTGCTTGCATGAGTATAAACAACTGTAAAAGTCTGGCTCTGGGACAAACCAGCTATAGACTTTTTAAGATTCCCTTGGCTCTAGAAAGGGATAAAAGAAAACAATGTAATCATGAAAAGAAGGAAAAAGGACAGAAGGACAAGGAAATGGAAATAGGTGGAAAGAAATAGAAAAAAAAGGAGGGAGAGGAAGGAAATGGGGAAAGATGACAATGAAAGAAATAGGTGAGAAGAGGTATGAAGAAGAGAAAGAGGAGAAAACGGAAGAACAGAGGAGAAATACAGCTAAACTCTGTCCGGCTTTTAACATATGCCAAACTATACTCAATATTTTATTTATCCTCCTTCAAATAGAATATTTACATATTGCTACATTGAAAAATCAAAAAACAAATTGGAGACAGTATCATTTAAAAAGTTTAACAATACTATTATATTCAAGCTTCAAGATCAGCAAACAAACTGCTTATTTTCTTGAAAGTTCTATTTATTTAACTTTGTGGTGAGCTGTTGAGACTTGCAATTGTATACTCATTTTATAGGAAAAGATACTGAGAGTAGAAAATAAGAGAAACTAAGCTTAGAGCAGTTAAGTCACATTCTAAAGTCACACAGATAGGAAGTGATACATCCAGAATTGGAACTCAGGTGTATCTGTCCAGACTCCATTGATATTTACCACACAATATGGGATGTACACTCTTTGTATCTGTATTGTGCTGATTTTAAAGCTCTAGAACATGAAGATGAGGAGGTTCTTAAAAGGTCACCTGCACAGCTCCATTCTAAATATTCAACTAAGCCACTGTTTCTAAACACCTGAATCCTCTCCTCAGAATACTGTTTTCACATGCTAAAATGAATGAAAAGATATTCACTTAGACACAATTTTTAATGCATTAAGCATTCAAGAGCACAAGTTTAGTGGAAAGGTTAAATTCGAAGCAAATATATAACTTCAGTTCCTACTGAAAAAACATTTGAATTCAAGTACATGCCAGACTCTGCAATATTATTTTTTTCCAGGTAGCAGTTCTCCCAAGACCTGTTCTTTCACCCACTTACTTTTCCTATCAGTGTTAGACCACAATGCATAAAGAACAAGGTTTATGTTAAGTTTTAGGGAATAAAAACAGACTGCTGCCAAAATATTCGTGTTTCAAATAAACATCTAAACCAATATTTACAGTCTTTCGTGGGGTTCTGGTTGTCAAAGAGCTGCATGTATATTATGCTTATGTCCCTCAATTCCTACAGTGTGTCAATAAATGCCATCACGGAACGTAACGGGGCAGGTACAGTGATATCTGGACCAAATCACTGTCTAGAGAAAGCATCCAAGGGCATCCCCATTTCCAAGTCCACATTGACAGATTTCAAGACCTTAAAGAAAGCTCTATTAGCCCTCCTCCATGCAGTTGAGTAGACAAGGGAAGGAGTGAATGGAAAACAGGGAAAACACACCCACACACAGAGAGGAAGAAAGACAGAGAGAGAGAGAGCACGCGCAGAAGTACAGTAAGTTCCTACATCTAATTATAACAAGGAAACAAATTTATTGAATGGCATGGTCCTAAAGTTATAGGATCAAATTCTCCAGAACAAGGAAAGTGATAGAATTACTTTAATATCCCACGCTATGTGCCAGTCTCCATCACCTGGCATCTATGTGGATCCTCTGTGCCCTGCACTGCCTAATAGTTGGATGCCCAAACGTGAGTAAGGGGCCTGCTTCTGAAGCAGTGTATTATTTAGCTGACAAACAAAAACACAGGACATTTTTAATAAAGTGAAATGCTAACACTGCTACTGAAGCAAAACAAGTAGAAGCAGCGAACCCAATTTGGAGGATAAAGAAAGGCTCCCTCAGGAGGTAGTGCTAAGCTCCAACCTGAAGAATAAATAGGAGTCAAACTAGAAAAAAAATGGAGAGTGACAAAAGGATTTCGGGCTGGATTAATCATAGTCCAGTGCTTCTCAAAGTCTGGTCTCTGCGCCAACAGCATCAGCATCATCTGGGAAGCTGTTATAAATGCAAAGTCTCAGGCTCCACCCCAGACCTACTGAACCAAAAATGCTGGAGATAAGATCCAGCAGTCTTGGTCTTAATAAGCCTTGGAGGTGATGTTGGTGCAAAAGTTTGATTTTGATGTTCAAGAACCACCAAAAGGTGAACTCCCATGGACAGAACGCCTGCAGGTACAGAGTTGAATGGGAAGGTGGAGTTTAGGGAGAGAGATTGCTAGAGAGGTAGCAAGCAGATCAGAAAGGGCTGTATACATTATAAAAAAAGAATTTCTATTTTACCCAGTGATCATAATGGAGAATCATTGAAATATAAGCATAATAATATACACATACACCCCCACACACATACTCTATAACATGAAATGATCTAGTATAAGTACAGAAAATAAAACCAAGTAAGGCTAGAAACTTTTAACAATACATGCAAACACACAGTATGACATAATCATTCCAGACTAAACACTTCATTCCTGCACAGACAAGTAGTCATCAGAAAGGAATAACTTTGGCCCTACCTTTCTTTCTGGAGTCTTTCTTGGTGCTGGTTTTCACAGCTACTTGAAGTTCTGTCTCAGTTGACATCCTACTAAATCCTTAGTCCACGTCACACAGATCCCGGACCTCGGCCAGGCTCATCGAGGACTCCTCTCCAAGAGAACGACCCTCCCTTCAGAAATGACACCCAGAGCTGTGCATTTCATTCACTTCTTTCGTGTGCTGCAAATCAAGAGAAGAAAAATTCAAGATGGCCCTCCCTGGTGGTGCATTAGGTTAAAGTGCAACACTACAAGCTGGCCTCAGCCACTTCAGTGCAAGTTCAATCCCCAGCCCTGGAGGTGACCCACATGGTGCGGCAGACCTCTCCTGTCTCCCCCACTACTTCCCACAGCAGTGTACTTCATCAGTCTGCCTGTCCTGCTCCACACTCTGTTTCTGTTTTAATCCTTTCACAGTCCCTCCACCATGGGCCTGTACCCCAGTTCTGTATGCATATATAAATAAATCTTTCAAAAAAAAAAAAACATTCAGGACAATCCCCCCTTTGAAGTTAAATAGAGAAAGAAAAAAAATCAGCTGACTCTTACGATGTCCTTGAGCTGCTGGTGGGTTCACATGGAAAAGAAGATGCGAGGCCAGTCCGTACAACTGCTTCTCAGCCTAGATTATACTAAAGATGCATCTGGAACACTGGATTATCCAAGAAGGTCAAAACCTAACTCTGTTTTTCATGTTTCCTCTTTTGAAGTACTAGATGCCGGCCAGGAAATGCAGCATATTTCCTGACCAGCCTTGTGCAGGCATTGCCAGCAACAGGGTGCCCATCCATCAGCCAGGCTTGACCAGCCTTGGCAGCTAAGGCAGATCATAGGGAAGTGACCTGTGGTCAGTCTCTCACTGGCAGGCTTCAGAGGGGACATGGGGTTGACATACAATTGGGCTTCAAGGGTAAGGTGACAAATGGGGCCAAGAAACTTTCCAGCAAGCCAATTTTTATGTCAGCTTTTCCCCCAGCTATAAGAGCAGACAAGCATTTAATGTGAGAAGAAAAAGAAAAGAAGCAGACACACATTTATTCATTCTTTCTTTAATAAATATGCATTGCACACTGCTAGGTACTATTAAGCTCAGACACTGTGCTAGGAAGAGATAATAATGATAATACAACCACTTCAATTACAGCCAGTATTTACTATGCACTTACTATATACTGTGTCCTCAGTTACTGCTTCAGATACATTATCTCAATGAAATGAATGTATTCTGTGTCAAGTTAACAGTCTTTCCCAGTGCCTATCTACCTGCCAGCTACTTCCAAGAGTTCAGTTGAAAATAAACATTCTGCTAGTTAACTGTTTTTAAAGAATATAAAGATAAATATACTGGAAATGGAGCTTTACACTGTGCACCCAATTCTTAGCTCATCCCACAGACCCCAACCTGTTTAATCCAAAAAGGGTGACTATTTTTACAATGCCAGTTTCCATTTTAAAAAAATAATGACAGAAATCTTTTAATATTGACAATTAAAGATAGCTCAAGTTTTGGGTGTAATATAATGCACAAAAAATACGTCACAATGGGGAGATTTCTGCCTTCCCTAAAATACCTAGTTTTCAAAAAACAAAATTTAAGTATTTTTTAAAAAGACATTGGTCCTTGAACCACTAAGAAAAATAGAAAACTCTCTTCTTAAAGAACTTGATCCATGAACTCATATGTAGAAAATGAGACCTGTTCCTGCCAAGCTTGTGGTATCTATCTGCCACAATGAACAACATTCCATGGGAGATGACAAAGTCAAAAAACTCAATCTTAGATGGAAATAATTGTAATTATAGTACTTATCAGCTTCTTGCAACAAAAATGTACAAGAACCTACCAGGCTTAAATACTGGCTGGCTCACATTAACAGACATTTACTATGTAACCACATGGCCAAGTGCACATAATCAAAGTGAGACTCCTGGTCACAAAGCAGCTAAGTCTAGCAGAAGTGTCACTGTTTCAAGGGACTGCAATCCACATGACAGGAACTAGAATGGTTACTACTGGGGGCACAAAGGAACAGAGTTCACCTTGGCTTGGAACAATCAACTTCACAGAGGAAAGTGAACACTGTGAACCTTGAAGAATGATGCTGTCAAGTGGGTGGTGAGGGAAATGTCCAGCAGGTAATCAATGCGTTTGTGTACAATGAATGAATGAATGTTTCGGGCAGAAGAACCAACATGGACAAAGGCAGAGAATCTTGAAATGCACAACCAAACTAAGAAAAGGAAGCAGAAGTCTAAGGGAGATGATACCTTTTCTATCTTCCCAGCCATGAACGATTACCTTCCTATGGAATCTTTCCTGCCTTAATGGCCTGTCCACCGCTCAAAATTCAGACAGAAGTAGTATCTTAGGAAGATGAGTATTCCACTAAACAGAATCTTATCATTTGATTTGCAACCAACTTCAAAGTTTGATCCACTTACAAGCAATGTGATAATCATAAAGTTACTCAAGCCCTCTTGGCCACAGTTTCTTTGTCTGTGAAATGGGAGTAACAGTATCACCTTTATGGAAGAGCTTAATGTAACTACATACCTGAAATAGTGCCTGGCATACATACGGGCAAGCACTTCACAAATATTAGACACTGGGAGTTTCTTTTGTTAACTGCTCAAGGTCACATAGCTGGTTTGAGTCCCCACATCCGTATTATTAGCACCCCATTACAGAAGCAGAAAATAAAGCTTTCTAAGGAGAAAATGCAGGAAGTGACAGACGATAAGCTATTTCCGTCATGCTGGTCTTGTATACAGTAGGTACCACACTTCCTAAATACCAAAATGAGTTAAATACATGGGTTTTACACAGTTTCAACCCTGATTTAAAGTATACAAAAATGGGTTGAATTTGGGCCATTTTCTTCCCGTCAACTTTATAAGCCACAGTGTAGTACCATCCCTTATCCTCTGGGTTTTCTCCCTTGTTCAAAAAATGTGATTGTATTCAAGTATTAAAAGCATCTTTGCAAATTTCTAAAGTGCATGCCTACATAATATTTCCAATAAGAACTTAAATAAGCAAGCTGCAGTACATAGAGAATGTAGCATGCCTTGGACCCCTCGTCCCCTTTAATTTCCAAAAAACCAGAAGTTGAGCAAATGCTGTGAAGTAACTCCAAATTATTTAGGAAATTCGTTTCTTTGTAATTAAGGAGATTAAAGTCCTCAGGCCCAGAAACCATGTGACAACTCAAATCATTTTTCTCCAGTAAAAGCTGTGAAACCCTATCAGTTAAATTCAGGCTCGCCCAGAATTGTGAAATGCTTCAATAATGTTTCTTTGCTCCACACAATCTGCAGTAATTTAATATTCCTGAAGTGTGTCAGGTTTTTTATAATGAGCTCTTCAAATCTAAATGTGAATTATGTAACATTCCACTACAGACATTCTGTCTAGTGAACTGCTTCTAAATGTAAAACCTTGTGTTCGGTGTTGGGGGTGGGGTGGGGTGGTACAAAAACACCAAAACACAAAGCAGGGAAAACAGATAGGCCTCAAAAAAAAAAAAAAAAAAAAAAAAAAGGTACAAAGGTTTGAGCAGCTATAATTGAACACAATGCAATACCTGCTATAACACAAATTGGTGTTCTCTCTCTCCTTACCGCTCATATGATCCTACAGTAAAACAACTAATTATAAAGGCCCCATATTTATAAAGTGTTATGATATGAACTGTTCATATATTATCCAATTCAATCCTTCAGTCACTTAACGAGTTAGCTACTATCTTCACTTAACAAATGAGGAAAGTGAAGCACAGGTTAGCTTAGTGGCTTATCCATAGTTACAGGGATAACATATCACACACAGAAAGGTGCAGGTCAGACTTCGTCAGTCAAAACCCTCCCAAATGCCCATCAGATGGTGAAGGGGTAAACAAAATGTGATGCTATTTGGCTATGAAAAGGAATGAAGTATTGATACATGCTCCAAGGTGAATGAATCTCTAATAACATCATTCCAAGCAGTTAGACACAAAAGGTCACATGCTGTATGACCCCAGATTTATGAAAGATCCAAAATAGATAAATGCACAGACAAAGCAAATGGGTGGTTTCCAGGTGCTAGCTAATTTAAAACTTGTTTTTATGGATGTCAGTTCTCATCACAGATTCCAAATTCACCCAAATCTGCCCAGACTGCCTGAGTTGGCAGAAGTCTCTGGACTAAGGTTGTTGGGAGCAAAACTTTCTTCCTCCTCCCCAGATTATGGGTTAAAGTTTAACAATCCTTAATATTTTTAGTATGTCAAGGGTTATCTGATTTGATCTAGCCCATCTGAAAAATGCCTACAACTCACTCATTCTGTACATTTGTTCTTTTTAGAGATAGGAAAAGAGGAGAGCGGGATTTTGTTGACCTCAGGGGCAACATTCATTAAAAGCTGCTGGGGTATGTAAGTCCTTTAGGGATGTTAGCAGGAAGACACTCAGAGATAGTCTTTATTTCTCTCTACTAATAAAACATTGCCATTTTCAAAGCCCATGTAAAGTCACTTGTTTTAACCAAACCCTCAAGAAAAATGATGTGTTGATCAAACATACCCTTAGCTTTAAAACTCTGAGGATCACCAACCTGACAGACCAGCTAACTGTGGACTCAATCAGGCTATTTGGCAACTACATGTGTCAAGAAAGGGGAGCCCTGAGACCTCATCTTCATTATGTTGTCTTATTGCTTATATTTACCTTACATTGGGAAAGAAAGAAAGAAGAATTTCAGGTCACATACAGAAAGTTTTATAGAATGGCATTCTGTAAATCAAGATAAAGAAATGAGCATAATAACTGCAGTGAAGGAGAATAAAGGACTAGAAATGACAGTGAAGAGAGAGGCAAGAATAGGGCACCAAAAGCAACCTATACATTTGCAGGAGATACGAATCTGGCTCAGGTTCCTGGGAGCCAAAGCAAAGAAGAAAATACGAACAGTTATAGGTTTTACAAAGTCCCAGTTCAACTAAACCATTTTTGCCTTTTGAACCAAAAATGGAGAATGAACAGGACCTATAAGGGCTTTCATTAAATCATGATATCATGTACATTAATACCTGTCCTGTTTCTATTAAAAAAAAAATCCGAAAGGGAATTCATGTTAATGGCCTTAACTTACATCGAGAGTATGACACTAAAGATACGTTAATAGTGGTCATTTTAAATAGG